CACACACATACTGGTAGGTTCATTGGCTTCTGGGAAAGCCTTAGCCTGAACGTGTGTCTGGCGTCCCATCCCGGGTGTATCCTGCCTTGCACCCACTGCTTGCTTGGATAGGCTCCTGGAACCCTGAACTGGATAAAGTGGTTAGAAAATGGATGGATGAAAAAAGGTATTTTGCCACAAAATACATAAAACACATTTTTAAAAATCATTCCATAATGTTCCTCTCCGAGTTCAGTCCAGGGTCAATGGGCTTGTAAAGCACAGTAGCCCAACAGTACCCCTACAGGAGAGAGCTGGATCAAGCCTACTGGGGACTCCCCCTTCACCACCTGGATGACGCGGCAGCAGCCGAAGTGCGCCAGTACACCATTATTAACATTATCACACAGCTGGGCTGGCTTTCAAATCACCCTTCATTTGGAAACTTAGTAATGTTCACACAGCAGCGACTTCGGCATCCTGGGAGGACCGATTACAAGCCTCCGGGTCAGGAAACAATCCCAGATGTGGTGGGTAATTCATCTAGACACTGCCCGAAACCTAGAAATAATTTTAAATAAATGTTCTTTTGCTCTCTGCGTCAGCTAACGTAAATATCAACATCGGTGAAAAGAAACATGGTCTCTATGCAACACCTACTGCGGGACTGCGGTCCGCGGTCTCGGGTCTCGGGCTTTATCAAAGACGTCACAACAAGGAAGTTCCACCCCTTCTGCAAGTCCCCTATCTGAGCCCCGGCAGGCCGGGGGCGGGGGACGGGAGCCCGCGAGTGTCAATCAGTGCGGAGAACCAGAAAGCGAGCGAAGAGGGGAAAGCCAGAAAGACGAGGAACGGGGGAAAAAAAAAGTCGAACGAGAAAAAAAAAGTATTTGCAGGCAGGTGGGGCGGGCGAGGAGCGGAAACAGGAAACTGTGCGACATGTATGATTGTAGCCGAGCGGGGCTGTCATCACCCGGAGGACTGCGGGGACGGGCGGTGTGAGTTGCCGGGGGCTGAGCACAGCGACTTGCAGCAGGAGCAGCGCAGCTCATTCATTAAACAAAAATAATTCATTCTCATTACCAGTGAGTAGCCTGCTCGCCATTTTAATACAAGCAGCGAAGCATCTCCTCTCCGCCAGCAACGGGAACCTCAGCTGCGCTTTTTATGGGTTTTTTTTAAGTCGTCCTCAGCACTTCCCTGTTACTGTATTAAAAGAGGAAGGAAGCCATCTTTCGGTATTTGTTTCGTGTGCAGTGCCTTTCTTCTCTGTTTCCGCACAGGCAGCGAGCAGACGCACAGGAGGGTCTCTCCTGCACAGCGCCGGACCATGACGGGCAGATCGGTGAAGGATATCGACAGGTTTCACTCCGTGCTGACCAGCCTGCTCAGCCAGGAGAGCAACAAGTTCTGCGCCGACTGCCAGGCTAAAGGTGAGGCTGTGATGATGATGATGATGATGGTGTAATCGATGCGCTCTGCCGTACGTGGCGCTGAATTCAATATTTCTCTGGGGATGTCAGCTCGATGCAGGTCCGTGTCTCCCCGCTCCTCTGACACAGATATT